TACGTACATATATGGTTTAGAAAAATATGAAATCAAACCGACCTCATATTTTTCATAGTTTAAATGAAAGAGCACTATACCTCAAATCATGTATCTATCCCGAAGGATAAACACAAGACTTGAGGATGAGACTCGATCAAATAAACTAAGAAATATATGATATCCGTTTAGTCTGCGAAACTATTTATTTGCCGACAAGTTCACATATTTAATACAAAGAATTAAATAAAGCTTATATTAAATACCTGTCAGATTCAAGAATTTGAATGTGACAGTATCCAGATTTTAAATCAATTTTTAAAAATATTAAAGATTTACTTAAGCAATTAAGTACTTTTTTATTCGGTATGAGATATTGAATCTATTTAAAACTTCATTTAAATGTTTATAATTAATAACTAATTTAGATTTATTTCTTTCTCTTTCTGCATTATTTTAATATAGAATGCAGTACGGCTCTAATGGGAGCTAGATTTGCTACATAATTTCTTATTAAGGAGTTCATTAATTTCTTTTTATAAATTTTTAAATATTCTTAATTCATTTGATAAGGTCGTGCCTTTGTCTTGATATTTATTTCATCGAAATTATCGATATATGGTAAAACAATATAGTATTTTTTTTATCCCAAAAAACAATTATTATTCAATTTCTTTGTTCAATTATTTTGTCTTTTATGAAATTATTATTCAATTTCTCTTCTATAGATAACAAAGTAATTTATTCTCGTAAGTGATTAATTTGATTTTGTTTTAACTTAAATTTATTTATTTCATTTAAAATAATTTTTGTAGGATTAGTAATAATTTTAAAAATAATGATTTTTCCAAACTTGTTAGAATATATGCCAGTATTATCTATTTTATTAATTGACATAATTTTATAAAGGAACGGAGTTCCAAAAATAATATGTTGAGTTAAATTTTTAACAAATATAAAATCTGTATTAATTCAAATATCATTTTTGCAAATATTATCAGAAGAAATTTTATATTTAATTTCCATTTTATTTCCAGATGTAGAAGTCAGTTGCTTCGTAGTTTTTTCAAAATATTTAGAAAGTATTATTCCTTCTTAAATACAATTTATATCTGCTCCGCTATCAACAAGAGCAATAAAATTAGATAAAATATATTCTCGATTTATATTTAAAGAAATGATTATAAATCATTTATGCATAATAGTTTTTTATAAGAAATTTTAAAAAAATGGTTATAAATTGTTATTCTTTTCTACTAATATTTCTGTAGGTGTAATATTATTTATTTCTAATTTTAATAATTTAGTATTTTTTTTCTTGATTTTTTCACTTAATTTTTTAAATCATTTATAGTACTAGATTTACTATAAGTATTTAAAGGTAACGTTTTATTTAAAACTTCTTTCATTGAATAACCTAGAAAAGGAATTGTATTAGAAGATGAGGATTCTCCTTTATATTCAATAATTATTTTAAGCATTTTATTTTGAATTTTTTCATCCTCAATTTGGGATGTAATTTTAAGTTTCTCTTCTTTCATTGAAGAAGATAAAGTAATAAACCATTCATTTCGACTATAAATTTATAATAATTTTTATTATTACATTTGCACTCAGATTTTGATGTGCAATTATTTTCATCAAAGTTTGATGAATAAGTGGAATTGTCCTCAATTTCTTCTGAATTGTCAGAAGTCTCCGAAGATTCAGGAGATTAATTTAATATAATTTTGAAAATAAATTGTTTAATATTTTTATCAATTTTATGCTCATTTATTTTTATTTTAATTATGCATTTATTTGCATAGTGGTCAGTCTTGTCACATTTGTAGCATTTGATTTCTCTCTCTTTTTTCTTATGAGAAATCTTTGGCTTGTTCTCTGAACAATATTTTTCAGAGCGTTGTTTATGATATTTCTTCTTTTTTTTGTAAAGATTTTTCTTTTTCTTTTGTATATTTAGGAATATCAAAATCAAATTATTTACAGAAAGGACAATTGTTTTTTTTCTATTAATCTTACTTTTTTAAACTGATATATAATTTGAGATTTGTACAATAGGCTAAGCCTTTATGTATACATGTATTTATTAATTGTCCATATGTCAAATTTTCATATGAAATATGTTTGATGTTAATATATTATGGTTGTTTTTTACCACAATTAGCATACTTCCACAACAGAATTCCTATACTTATTACTGATTCATGATAAGAAGAAAGATATTTTCATATTAAATACTTTTCTTCTTCAAAAACTTTAGTTATCTTTTTAGTTATTACTGTTTTGTTAAAACATCGAAAATACCAAAAATATTTAAATTTTAAATTCCTGCAAAAATCATTTTTAGTTTAAGTAATTATCTTTTTAAAAATGGAAAAACTTTCTGAAAAGTGCATATTGCATAATCTTCCCTGTGGGTTTGATATTTAGGTCTTAATGAAAAAGTCCTATATTACTTGATAACGATACGTATACTTGCGTAGTATCCAAATATAAATATATATAAATTAAAAAGTTATTCGTATTGTTCTATAGAATCAAGTTTTTGGTTTGGTTTCAAAATAAAGAAATATAAGTGAAAAATACCATCAGAACTATTGTTATGCTGTGCATAAGCATTGAGTTCCCAGGGATGAAGTTTTTGGCATCATTGCCGGGGAAGAAAACTAAGTAAATTTCTATTTTTAAAAAATTCTTATTTAAACTTTAAATATTGTAAATTATTTTGTATGTTTTATTTTATTTTATTATATTTTATTTTATGTTAGTGTATGCGAAGTTCAGGTTCTGAAGGACTAGTGCCCTACGATTCTGAATTAGAAATAACTATTAGAAAAATCAGTAAAACAAAAAAAAATTAAAAATCTTGAAAAATCCAAAAAATTACATAAATGGTAAACAAAAATTATCAAAATGCTAAAATTCATCACCAAAATAATCAATATGCTGAAATTCATCAAGAGTTTAGACCTTTAAGAGATTATGACAACCCTACTGTAGATGAACTTCATTGTAGTATTCAAAAACCTACTGTAGTGGCTAATTCATTTGAGCTTAAACTTGTTATTATCCAAATAGTATCAAATAATCAGTTTGGGGATCACCAACTGAAGATCTAAATTTACATCTTACCAATTTTCTAGAATTGTGTGCTACATTTAAATACGACGGTGTTTCAGATGATGTCATAAGAACAAAAATGTGTTAAAATTGGACATATTAATTTTTGTAAAAGATAACGAATTTGTTCTCCATTATCAGATACTATGCCGGTAAAATATTGTAAAATATTGATAATTAATTTATAAACATTATCAATGTTTTCTTGATAAGGATTTCTTATTATTGTATGACTTAAAAATTATTCTTTTTGTTCTTGAGTTAAATAATTATCCCACCAGCCATTGAGAAGACCAATAAACCCACAAGTTAGCTAGGTTACAATTTGATGTGCGCGATTATTATGACTTTGAGCAGCGAAGGCATAAATCATCTTTCTTTGTAATACGATTTGTATTTGGCGATCAGTCATGCCATCAATATCTCATTCATAAATATTAGATGGATTATAATTATTTTGATATTTATTATTATCTCCTTCATACAAAACATCTGTAGGGGTATGTTGAGGTTTTATTGCCTTTTTAATTTATATATTTTAAATTAACATGTCTATATGTTGTTTGGTATCAATTTTGTTTTTTATTTTCTATTTTTTGTTTTTATGTTGTTTTGTTTATGTTTTGATTTGAAACAAAATATGTTTAGTATATTTTATTAAGATGTAAACATCTAAAAGTTGTTTTGAGTGTTTTGAAAAGTATATTTATTTATTTTTAGAAAAAAAATAAAGATATATTAAAAACACATTAAATCAACATGTTTTAAGAATTAAATTTAAAAAAAATAAAATTGATCAGGTGAATAGAAGAAAATTAACTCTCTGACAAATATATCATTAAGAGAAGCTGATCATTTTAAAATGAGAATCTAGCCCTTTGCTTTCAATTGCGGCCTCCATTATTCAAGTTACATATTTCATGTATAAGAATTCCTGTCATATGGAAATTCTAAGTACATGCTACATGTTGATTCCATAGGATTTTACAGGCAATTCAAACTCCAATTCTTACATGCTACATTTTGATTTAATAGGATTTTACGGGTGATTCATGCTCCAATTTTTCTCCAGCATTTTACATCTAATAGAACACACATGAGGAATCCTGATGGAAATTGGATTGCTCCACCTCCAAATTATGAACCAATTAAAGCTCAAGGTATGTTCCCCGTGTTTATTATTGCATTTCAACTGTTCCTTTAATCCCATTACTTTCACAAATACTGTGCAAAAAATAATAAATTTAATAAGATGAATATTAGCAAATTAATAATTGTATTTTGTTTCTAGTGTTTAATTTGCGAAGCATCTTTTTTTGCGCTACCGCCATACAACGACAACAAACCTTTATCCCACTAATTGGGGTCAAATGTCATGATTTTTCGACAAATTTTACACTGACTGACTAACTAACGCGACCCTCCATTTTTTACACCCGGGGCTTGGGACTCGACAATGGCAGCATTAAATCCCAAAAATATTCAAAAGTAATGCCACATACCTATGTGGATGGTTTTAAAACATGTGATCTTTGGTGTTGATCACTTCAAACGCAATCTCCAAGGTCGGTGACACTAGATTTATTCCTGCAGTTATCCTTGGTTGCTATTTCTGAAAATAGCAAAGATGCATTCTATTCGGAAAATCCATGTCTATGGCCATACAAAACTTTCTTATTAATTAAATTCATGCCCAAATTCATGCCATTTTGGTATTCGGTTTTTCATGCTTTGAAGTCCTGTAAATTATTTTTCAAGTTATCTTGTGAACTACTTGGAGTCTAGAATCATTCTCTTGTATCTTATTTTCCAAATTTCTGTGTTTTTATTTAGATGGAAGCAAAGATAACCTTGATGAATATATTCGGATTTGTGCTGCTGATGTTATGACTGATATTAATGCTTCGGTCGATGGCATATACTCGAACAAGTATGGTGTCTTGATTAGTGAAGACAAATTGGAGGCATTCTTTTCTTTCATACATTAGAGACGTCCTTGATTAGTGAAGCCATGTTCTATATATTTATTATAATCTATTCTTTTTATCATTGGCCATTTAAAGATTAATATACATGGAAAGTGTCAGTCATGCCCACTTTTAGCTGCACCCAACAATCCCATGGTTATTATGTAATACGGTTAGTTATAATATGGTTAGTTTTAAACTTTTCAAACTTTGAAACTGAAGCTAAATGCTTCTATTCTGTTATTGCATGATTTATTTGAGCATCTAAAGAGTTCTACTACCATAATATATATGATGAAAAGGTTTGCCAATTTGATGTTTCAAAATAGGCCCAACCGCATAATTGCTGGTCTCACATATTATTTTGAAAGGTAGGCTCTAGTTGGGCGTTACAAATTACAATAGCAGGAGCTATTTTTCCAAGAAATTTTAAACACTTGAAAGGCCTTCACAACTTTCAAATATGCTATTAAATTTGAATTGTATGTGTTTGGCTAGAAGATTTGGTGCTGGTAATCTAGCCGAGTATGGCTTACCAGCTCGTAGGGGTAACCAACTTTACTAGCTCTAGCCTTGCTAGTACCAGGTACCAGTGAGTGCGGGCGAAGGGAGAGACCAAGAGCAACACCAAACGTTCGTCTTATTTAGAAGGCCTTCCAAAAATGAGAGTTCCTTTCGACCGTGCTTCTGTGTCCCCGGTATGAAGTCAGCATCGCTGCATGACCACGTGCCAACTCTCGAGCCCTTCTTGTGTCCCGGCTCCCCTACCTTCCCAGTCATCAAAACCAGAGAAGCCACACACTCCTCAGTTATACCTAATTCTCCTATGAAGAGAAAAGGTTTTAGTTTTGACCTAATCTTAATCATTTTTTTACCTGGAGCTAATATTATATGTCCCAACACAATGCCTTCTCTCATTACAAATTGGAACATCTCCTAATTGCAAATTTGATTGGGTTCTTTAAATTGGTCCAAAACTAACTCCAAATATTTGAGGCGTGCATGGAAGTATGATCCAAAATCTAAAATGTTATTCGACAACACTTTCATGAATAGTATCACCATTTTAGAAAATATGGTCATCATGCAACCCATAAAGTAGTTGGTGGATTACATAGTTTAAATAGTATTCACTTAAACGCAAAGGTTCTATATAGACATGTGAATGTGACACTCTTTTGATCTTTTGATGTTATCGAACTTTAATTGTGTCTAGAACATCCATCTAAAAGATGGTAATAACCACACTTCACAAATCAATGTAATATCTAATGAATGAATGGTAGAGGGAAATGATACCTTCTTATAGATTTAAATTTTATAGTCATGTAAATACTCCATCTTATAGTTCGATTCGACGGCATTTCATCGTTATTTTCATTTCTTGATTTGGTGAGACCCTTCTTTAGCATAACATATACCAAACTCACCCATTGGTGGTTTAAAATGGGATAAATTATTCAAATTTCTAGAACTCTTAAGACTGGCTCTCTAACAACATTTTTCATAATGGGTTTCAATTTTTTTTATGATGCTCTATAGAAGGTTTGTAGCTCTTTTCCATTTGATAACCTGAATTCACATCATTCATCATTATATTTATCATAATCTAGAATATGTGGATAATTACTTCTCATCACATAGAACTTGTTTCACATACCTTGTTTGCACTGCGTGATGTCCTCTCCATCCATGCAAAGTCTCGTACTCCTATTAACAATCAGTGCATGCAAATTTCACACGTAATATTTGCTCCTCTTTCACACGTCCTTGTTTCTCTACTCCTCTCCCTTTTGATTTATCTAGTCCATGCATCTCCTCATCCTACAGTCCCCCCCTAATTTCCATCTCAACAGTTGATTTTTTACTTGAACTGTTGGTTGGCATCCACGATATAAGACCCCTCAGATCGAGGGTTCGAGCCCCCTCTGACACAGTTGGCCTTAAGGTGGTACTCGATTAGTTAGGCATATTATGGTTAGTTGGAGGCTCGTATAAAAATTGTTTTGATTTTTTTTTTATATATATAAGGATATTTTAACAATGAAAAATCATTAACTAGAAATGCTTATGCTTCATTCTTGATAAGTTGACCACATGAATATACACGGTGATCAATTCTACAAAATTTCCAATAAATTTTGCAAATTAATGAATATTTTGGTAAAAATAAAAAAAAAAAAAAAAAAAAAACCATTCAAACATCTTATAGTGGTTAGGAAATTTACATTTCGCTAATTAATTTTATTAAAATAATAGTATTTTTATTAAAAAATTATTATTAAAATAATAATATATATTTTTATCTTATAAAAATTTGTAGAAAATTCTACAACTTTATTGGGGCCTATTAAATAAAAAAAAAGGACATTTACGTATATACCATCCAATTTTTCCTTCCATTTTTTTCCCCCCTACGTGGAAGATAAATGAATTGTGTTTTTATTTTTTGGGGTTTTTAAAAAATTTGGATGTTAGATATGTAAATACGTACAGTAATCGAAGGATATATATATAATTTTTTTCAAGATAAAAAAAAAAAAAAAAC